CAAGGATCAAGAAAAGTTCCAGTGGGGCTACAGGAACTTCTTGACAGCCAGTCTGTCTCTTATCACCACTTCTTTTTCCTTCCTTTTTCTCTTTTTTTAAATTTTTTTTTCTTTAGTCTACAAACTCCAGAACTCTCCATTCTGAAAACTGATTGTTTCATTGATTATGGACCTTTTGAACTTTGCACAGTTATAGGTGCTTTCTTGAAAAGAAAAAAAAAAAATTCCTAGCAAAGGAAATCACTGAAATTTACCAGGTTGGAAACTTAAGGCACTCATCAGCTTTTAAATGGTTCCAATTCTGACCAGATCTCTGTACGTGACTCCAACCTCTGCTTCCAGACCATGGACTGAAGTTTTAGATGGTAACAAGTAGTTTGGGGCTCTTACTCTTGAAGTTATTTGACTTCAAAAAATGAAAAGAGAATGATTCTCAGAAGACAACTACTCCTATGCTTCTGTAAATACAACCATCTAAAATTAAAAATCTAAAAATTAAATTACCTAAAACAGAGATTTTGGAAATGTTACCCAAATCATCTGTGATCTGCAAGGCCCTTCCTCTTTGTACACAGACTCAAAGATTTTCAGAAGAGTTTTCCATGAGACCATTTCTTCTTTGTAGCAAATAGGGGAGTGGAAAGCTCCCTGAGAAGCCCTGTGACATTTCAGAGACAGACGCAGTTTCCCAGAAATTCTGTGAATATCCTGACCTTCACAGCTCCAGGATTTCCACATCTCCCCGCACAAACCCTGGTCACTTCTGGTAGAGTCCACCCTGTCCTGCTCAGCCTTTGCCACGGTTACCCTGCAGGATCAGAGCTCAGCATGGGGGTTATTCCCAGCCCTGTGTGCCTACACTCATCCCCCATCAGCAGCAATCCCACCCCAGAGCTCACCACAAACCCTAAATGGACCATGGGGGACTTGCCTGCTCCTCTTGGAGCCCTGTCAGCACACAGAGGGCTCAGCCCACAGCCTCCCTGCAAGCCTGATGCAAATTAAAATGGTCCCTAAATTCCAACCTGGATCCAAGCATGTAACCTATTTCCAAAAGGAGGAGCAGTGGTTGGGGTACTGCTCAGCCAAGAATCTGAATTAACTCATGTTGCACACAACCTCAGTGACACAGCTCTGTACTTCTGGCCTCTAGGAAGTCCTCTGCTCTATTTTGCGGGAAAAAAAGCACAAAATCTTAAACTGAGCAGGTGGTAGAAGACACAGCATAATGCATTTTTATGGCCCCTCCATATGTCCTTTCCAATATGCAGCGAGATAAATTCTCATCTCACTTACAGACATGCAGCCCCACTCAAATCTTGCAGCTTAGTACCACTGCAAAAGTCACCTGTGAAATTCATGTTGTCCATGGTGCATCGATTTTTTTAAATGAAAACAAGCCCAAAAAAATCTCAAAGGCCTGTCTGGGTATCACAAATTTGTGCCAACTCTCATTTTTTATTTAAGTCGACCATATATGCCCTGAGTCATCTTCCCAAACTACCTATGGATTTGTACCTTTAATCTCTTCCTTTATCTCAGTTTCTCCAGTCCTAAAATAATGGCAGTGACACACACTTGACTCCCAAGTTGTGACAGAAAGCTGAATTCATTCAGTGCTCTTCAGTGCCAGAAGAGACTTGGAGATGTACAGTGCATGTCTGGGTATTTCTATGCATAATATGGATTTTGAATATTATTCCAAAATGAACACACATCCAAGGTGTGTTCAGACTTCTGTATTTCTAATAACATTCTCTCAGGAATGTCAAAGCTTAAATCTAAGAAATAATTGCTCTCTAAGTGCATGCTAATGGCTCGCTCTGCAGATGGAAAATAAAAAAACTTATGTTTTCTTGTAAGCACAGGGTGACACTGGTTTATTTCTTTCAGAAATACTCACAAAAGCCAGGATTTTTCTGTATATATGTGACCTTGATTCCTAGATGGCACATGGGCTACTTAGAGATCATGTTACTAAGTTATTTGCAGTTAAAGAGGAAAAAAAGGCTAAAATTAATGGGTCACTGGGTATTTTCTTCTGAGAACTTAACTACTTAACAGTAAGAAAAAAACAGTTTACAGCCAGGTGGCTTGAGGGGATATTTTGTTGAACACTGATTAAAAATAATTTCTTCTAAATGAGACCTGACCACAAAATGGGACCATTAACGAGCAGGGACATTCTCACCAGAAAGGAAACTACGCTTGATCAACTCCTGCACCGCCCACAAACCCCAGGTCTTGTTCTCTCTCTCTCACACACCCTCTCTTTTGCTTCTCCCCCCCCTGCTTTTTCTGCTCTCCCCTTTCCTTGTTCCTAATAGCAGGGTAAATAAGCAGCAAGTGATGCTGAAATGTTTTCGGCCAAAAACAGAGGCCAAACTCCTCTGAGAAAACATTTGGCCTCTGTGGTTTTGTAATATGTTCCAGAACACTGAGTTCACTGAAGAACATTGTGAAAAACTCCCATCGGCTGGAGTGATGCTGGGGAATGTTACTGTATCCCAACTTCCAATTGGTCCATTTCCTGCAGGCCTTGTTAAAAAAAAAAGAAAAAAAAAAAGAAAAAAAAAAAGAAAAAAATAGTGCTATGTGGGAGTTAAAACAAGTTCTCATGGGAAAAATGAATGGCAAGAAATTCTAGCTTTAAAAGAAACAGCTAATCTGCTAGTTTGATTGTTCTTCAAAACTTACAATGAACCAATAATCCTAATTAAAACCACTTGGCCTAGTTCTCTAAAGCATCATAGCTTTTTCTATGCTTCGTTTGTACACACCATAGACTATTAGTTTTTTTCTAGTGCTCACTAACAAAGTGCTGACTTTGTTGGGATGGCTGAGCTAATTTCGTGAACTCAGTGTGAAACCTTAGCTAAACAAAATTGTGGTAATTTTCCTTAATTTGTAAAAGTGATTGGAGTGCAAACAAAATTTTCCTCTTGGGTCAATCCTATAATTTTCAATTAACTAAAACTAATCGTCAGGCATGTACTGAACCTGCATTTTGTTTAAAGGGCTGGAAGGCACTTCTGAAGGTCAGGATGCATTAATTGTTTTTATTTTACTTTCATTTAGTCCTTTTTTAAAAGCTACATTTAAGTTCAGGCTGGGTCTAAAAGGAAAATGCAAATTGTGTGAGGTAGGATTTCAGTCACAACACCTTTTCTGCTGCAAGAGAGAATTATCCATGGACTGGATCACCTTTGATTTTATCATCATTGTTCAGTATTTCATAACTTATATTTACTGGATGAAAAATACTGTGTTTTAAACACCAACTAGAAAATGAACACATAGAAACGCTCTCCCTACTGGGACACTTAATTTCCACATTCAGCCATCTGCTTCTGGGCAGACAAGCTAAACTGCTGCCCTCCTTTTTACTGGAAAGCTAATTAATGATGATTTGAAAAGCAACCCCAAAATGGGACCAGCCCATTTTTACATTTAAAAGTCAACAAAAATGTTTTTGCAAAATTAAGGGGAGCAGGTTTTCCCTTTTGTTTCCCTTCCTAGCCACACCTGCCAATTCACCAGCCCCAGGGGCAGCCACCCCAGTGGAGTGACAACAGGCAGGACAGCACAACGTCCTGCAAGAAAGAGAGGAGGGAAAGGATTCACCTCAAACAACCCAAAGCTCTGGGCAACACCCTCCTGTCATGGTTTACACCATCAATTTGTACCAGCCATAAATTTGACCTTTGCTATTCCTTTTGTTCCAACACATTCAAAACTCTAATTAATTTTTTGATATGGTGTGTTATTGTCCAATATATGGATTTCCCACACATTGCTGAAGTCATAATGCTCCCAAATAAACACACACAGCCTCCACAAGTGCCTGCTGCTCAGCCAGCAGGGCAATACGTGAGCATTTTAAGAGCCAGTTTTAAAAAAATCCAGGGCATAATCTCATCTGGGGGAGAGGATATTTGAAAAAGACAAGAAAGAATTATAAGGCACCTTTGTTCGACTTGCTTATTGTTAACAAAATTCAAATGAGAGTTTCCTGCCCAGCTGGAGCACAGAATCCTCTTGTCTGCCTCGAGTCCCTGTGTGTACACTGAGAGCTGGAGCAATGTGTGAGCCCAGTGAAACTCAGAATGGCTTAGTCACAAGTATTTATGATATATCCTAAAGTTCCAGGGGCAATTGAGGATGAGGAAATGAATTGTACTGGGTTGTGCTGAACCACAGTTCAGGCAAACAGCTGCAGCATAGTCCTGTCTGTAGATATGAACAACAAGTGCATGAAATACACATCAAAACCAGGGCAAAGCTGTTAATTCCTGTAGCACACACCTTCAGAGGAACCAACGACTCACATCCAAGTTAGGCTGCTACTTGATTTATTTCCTAGGCTATTCTTATAGCTACTGAGAGTGGTTTGACACTGGCAGTACCTGCAATGTTTCAGAGTGTTTTGGGGGTTTTTTTTTCGTAGTTTTTTTGAGGCCAAATCACTCAACTTAGTGGTCTCCAGTGCAGGAGACCACCCCAAAGCACACTGCAAGTTGCTGTGTCTGCAGCACTGACTGGGTTGAGAGCTATTTGAGCTCCCTGGGAGCCAGAGACAAGTGAGTTATGGTGAGATGGGCTGGCAAACAGGCTTTGAACCCTTGCAACACCTGCTGGACAGCATGAGATGGAGATGTTTAGCAGGATCCTTCTCAAGGCAGGTCTGTGTGTCTGGCTCCTTGTGCTTGCACTCCTCCTCTGTTTGGTTAAGTGCTGGAGCATCTGCTTCCCTCCTTCCTCCTGGTAAAGATGTCCCAACGCGAGGACAAACAAGCAAACAAAAATCCCACCCTGGTGTGCTTTCAGATTCATCCCTACAGTCCCCAGCTCTGACTCCAGCCTCAAACTGGTGCCTTCAGTGACGTCCTCAGCCAGAATAATAAGACACAGCACAGCTTTTAATGACAAAAGCAGAAGCCCTAGCAAGGGTGATGTATTGCCTGCCCTGTTTTTCCCCCTTACATTTAAAGCATCCATACCTGTGTAAATGAATCTTCCAGGCGTTCCCTTGCAAAACTGCTTAGACTTGTAGGACAATGTGACTTCTACAACCCCTGGGATGTGTCGGGGAGGCGTCTGTACACGGATGGCATGTGGAGTGATCAGCTAGAGAAAACATTGGGAAGGGAGAAGAAAGAGAAAACATGCACTGTTAGATGCTGAACACTTCTTTAATAACACTTTTCTCTCAGATCACAGCAAATAAGCTTTGAAACATGTAATTAACCTGTCAGTGTTTGAATACCATCTTGATGTAACCCACACAAAGGCAGTGACCACAATATTTACAAGCATTCTTGTAACAGCTTTATTCCTGTTTTCATACACGGCAGGCACTTGCTTCCTAGTACAAGCATCAGCCCTGGTGTAATGCAATAACTCCAGCCTATAGCAGCAGGACACCCACGTGTGCTCAGATGAATTCTGGGGTCATGACAGATCCATAAATGACACATGATTACATGTGTGAACATGGCACAGCACAAGTCCAAAGTTTTAAATACTCCAGTCCCCAGCTGACATCTGTACACTGGAAAAACACCCTTGTGCTGCTGTTCTAATTTTCTGTTCATTTTGTGGAGGTGTAACTGATTCCTGTAGGAATGCAAATCTTGTCTCCTAAAGGATGCTGGATCTTTTCTTCAAAATTATGAGAGCACTGAAAAATGATGTACCAAAGAAAACCATCTAACCATCACTTTCAGTCTGCCTTCACTGCAATGACTGATACACATCTGAGAGGGCTTCTTCAGGTGTGGATTTACACAGAAATAAGTAGATAAACCTGACTTTCTTTTTATTTGGGCAGGGGATTCTGATCCTCTTGGCACAAAGGTTGGGGCGGGTCAGTGCTGCACTTTCCAGGCTCTAGACCATTTTTGCTTTTTCAGGATTCTGCACTGGATTTAAAATGTAGTCCCTGAAATTAGTAGCACAGCCATCTAGGAGTTTACTAATTCAGAGCAAGATTAACTCAAATCTCTGCTGCTCTCAGAAATTACATCATTGTCTTCCCCATCACCAAAATGTCCTCTTTTCATTCATTGTGCTCCTCCAGTAAAAAGAGGTCCAGAGCAAAGATGACATGATTGTGTCCAACAACCAAGATACAGCTCTGGCACATGGATAATCCTGCTCTGCCTGTGGCACATTAATGGCCCTCTGGAGAGGTAAATAAAACCAAGACCATAACCTGGCTTGACAGGTTATGAGCAAAGTGTGAGCACCCCATGCAGTCAACTGCTCTATGCTCTTGGTCCAATCATGTCCTGAATTAAGAAATAAATTTCAATAGTTTTTTGTTTAGTTTTGTTTTGGTTTTTTTTTAATAAAAAGCTTATTTTGTTCTTATTTTTACTAGGAACCAAATGTTTCAGCATTGTAGTAAGGCCCTACCAAAAAAACCCCAGACTTTGATCCAGTTCTTTGTTTAGGGCACGGGACTAAAAAAGAGCACAGAAGGAGAGTAATATCTGTCTGAGAGCCATCTGTGCTACAGAGGGAAATGGCACACACAGTAGGGAGCTCTCCATATTTAAAATAAGAAAATTAATATTAAATCAAGTTGAACATTAAAACCAAAACTACCAGCATCAAATGCTCCAAAAGTTATTCAGATCCACAGAAGTCAGAAGCCACATGTCATTTTAGAAATTATCATGTAGGGGTTGATGTCTTCTTGTTTGGGAGCTCCAAAAGTCTGTTTTCAGGCTCTGTTTAGGAATCATGTGGTTTAGAAACTCACTTACTTTTAAAAGAAACCTGCCTTTTTTTTCTAAATTGCTCACTCTATAAAGTTGGGGAAAAAAACCCTAAAAATTAAAAATTAAAACAAAAACCAAAACCAAACCCCAAACTTCCATGGAATGCTTTTACTTGAACTGAGTTGTCTTACAGTTGAGCTGACCAAAGCTTAAAAGTCCAGGCTAATTTTCTCCATGCCCTAAAAAGCCAGCAGAGGCAGAAGACAGTGCCAAGCAGCAATTGATTTCTAGTGCTTCAGACACCTCTCACGTTGGGATGAGCCATCCTTGGAAGCTTCAGACCTTCCCCACTGAACCAACATGAGAAGCTTAGACTATTTGCTCAACTGTAAGCAGCCAAACATAACTGAGATAAATCCCATCCTCGAGTGGTTCTGGTTAACTGGGTGAACTGGCAAGATGAGAAAAAATTTATGACATTTTTGGGAAAAAATATTTGTAAAAACAGCCAAGGATTTTAGTAGCAAAGGTTAACACGCTCATCTTACTACATTAGAATGAGCCTGCATCCCTCACCCCCATTCTGGCATGAGCTATACAGGCAGCTTCTGGTTGTATCTTTGAATTTCCCAGCATTTACTGGTCTGTCACCACTTTAATGTTCTTTAAACATAATTTGTGGCATTTTCCAATACTCATCTTCCCTGGTTCCCAAGAAACGTCTGACCTATTTATGGTCCATTGTTACAGAGAGCTGGGGAGAGTTAAGCAAGTTTCCTGGTTTGTTCTCCACAAACAGTTTGGTTTTCCTTTGTGCTCTGAAGTAAATAAGTTTAACTGTGTTTAAAACCACAAATATACAATAATGTCGCCCACACATTCCCAAAGGGTGAACATTATGTCTAAAGTCCTATGGTTTAGGATACTCAGGATGTATTTTATTCCTCTTTTCCCTACAACTAAAGCTTGGGAGGTATACCAGGAGAATACATGTGCTTTTGCTTTTTCTCCATCACATCTGTCATTGACCACTGGCAGGGATTCAGTGCTGGGCCTTTGTTCTGGGTCAGCCTTCAGGTCCCCTGCACACGGAGGGCACTGGCCAGCTTGGTTACACACCAGGAGTTCCCTAGATTGCTGTCATAGCAGGAGATTGGCTTTAAGAGACAAAAAATGTTCCCTTGCACATTGAAATCTCCCACCTTGGGTCTCAGATTCTGGTTCTACAGCTCTGCCAGGGTCTGCTATGGACTGGGAGCAGCTCTCCAAATTGTCCTGACTATGGTTTGCAATCCAAGTGACCCAATTGGTGCTGTACATCTCAAGGCAGTCCAAGCCCACCCACAGGAAAAGCAGATTTGCCCCATTTCCATAACTGCAGGATTATGGGATGCTTTCCTGTCCACACTCTCAAGCTGGGGCCTGATGTTGGGAACCTACTCCACCTTTTCTCTTTTCACACTGACACATCCTGTTCCTTCTTCAGGGCACAATCTGCCTCATATTTACATGCAAAGCATCTGGAAGAGGTGAGCTATTACCATCCAGGGATATTAAAAGTAAAGAAACCCCTTCTGGATGCCTCTGAGCCCCAAAGAGCTGGAGACTGGTAAAGACTTTTGGGGAAGCATTGTGACATGTTCACCCTGTTGTTTTTAGGCATCTGTCCTTGCCCAGTGACAAACACAAGACCCTGAGGTAGGTGAGCTCCCAGTGTGACCCAGCAGGGCCAGTTGTGCATCTTCACCTCAGCTGGGAACTCTTGGTGGATGAACAGACACCAAAATAACACATGCCAAGAACCAAGAATCTCTAAATATGAGTTATGCCCCTTTCTGAATTTATTTTTTAAATGTAAATCTTGAGCAAGGCATTAACCTGTGATTTGGACATGAACCCAGCAGCCAAAATCCCAGATCCATCTTCCTCCTCCATTCCAGCATTTAGCAAATTGAGAAATGGAGCTGGACACAAAATTAGTAACTGGACCTTTCTCCCAAGGGATTTTCAAGTGATTTGGCCTGATACTTAGCAACTGCATTTGCTGTTTGATATAAATTCTTACATGTCAGCTGGGACATGCAGTGGGGTGCACTAAAACCTGAGTTAGGGATCTTTTGAATGGTGGGTGGTGCCTGGCCTTCAAAATCCAAAACACATTTGGGCTGAGTGTGTACAACAAGCCTCTTTCTGTGGTTTGCTAATATATTCTAGGCATTCTTGTGTGATACAGCATCATTTCACACTCTTCAGAGTGCCAGGTTACTTTCTTTTTTTAAAAGTGACATTTTATAAGGAGATGTCATTAATCTGAGTCACTAGTTTATTTTTGCATGCTTGAGCTCTGGTTTGTGGTTAGGGAAATGGTGACAATCAGTCATAAATTTGACTTTGACTCTGTGTGAAGAGGACCATTAGAACAGGAATGAAGAAAAATCCCACCAACTGAAGGTAATGACAGCTTTCAGTGAGAACAGAACCCTTAGGGTACCTATATTTTAAAAAAACAACCAATGTCTTTGCATGCCTCAATTCTGGGCATCCAGATGCTGCTTAATAAGCCTTGGTTTGCAAAAAGAGGGTGCCTACTCATTTTTTAAAAATGAGTCAGAGCTCCAAAATAAGCACTCAAAGCCTGAGACTTCCAAAATCAATAACAAACATAAAAAGCAAAATAACAAACTGTGTCACAGAATTTGATTCAGCAGCAGTAAAAAAAAAAAAATACACAAAAAAGCCACCAAACCAAAAAAATCATCCTCTGTTTTTGTGCTGTACAAAGGTAAAAAAAGAAAAAAAGATGTTTCAATGCTTCATCTTTTCTTAATATAAAAGAAAAAGAAGTTGTTTCCAGCTGACTCTGTAAAGCTGCAGGAATGTTCTTGGCAGGAAAATGTTTGAAGAAATAGTTCATTTTAAGCAAATATTGTGGAATATTTATAAGAAACTAATTTTGTCTTCACAATCATGTATTTGCCCTGCAAGTCGACTCTCAGAGTCTCAGCACCCAAGAGGAGAGAGAAACAAGCAAAGGTTCTTATCAGCAGCACCGATTTGGAATATTTGTGACCACACAGGGACCCAGAACCTGGGTGAAACGCCCCGAATTCCAGCTCTGTGTGTGTGTGCACGGCACAGACAGGCAGCAGAGCCTGTCTGGCACACAGAATGTTTGCTGGGAGGCTCTGAGCACACCCAGCATGTGCACACGATAGACCAGCGCTGTTTGTTTGGCGGTTACGAAAGTCCCTTGGAAAAAAAAAAGCATTAGACAGCCCATTCTGCTGGATTCTAAAAATACCAAGGGCTTTTAAAGTCATTTTTCTAAAGTAATATGGGAGGTAAGGATTAATTGAACCTAGTGGCTTAGGGTATCTGCATTTCTGCTCAAAATTAATGTGACAAATTAAGTTTTTATTTAGTTCTCCCTGGCTGAGAAAGGTTGCAATTATGTTAGAGTGTTTACAGCTAAAATATATGTTTAAATAATAAATATGTGTTTCAGAAACCATTTCAAACCTCCTTTTTTAACACAGTCAACTCCATTTCAAGCATATAAATATTTCAATTACAAAACTTGAATACATGTAAAATAAATTAAAAATATATTATTTACATTTCAAATTATTTATAACATGCTGCTTGACAGCAACAAATTCTCTCTTAAAAGGAAGTTGTTTGGGGTTTTTTGGCTCTTAACTTTACTTCTGAATTAGGGTAGGATTTATGTTTTAAATATCCATGCAGCTCAGGTATTTACATGGATTTTGCTATAATAAAGTCTGAATAATATAGGACCTTTACGATAATTACCTTCACAGCACCTCTCCAAAGAAGGTGACTAATCTTATTACTGTTTTAGAGAAAGGGAATTGAACTTTAAGTAGATTATACGATTTGCCCAAGGTCCCATGCAAAGTCTGTAGCAAAATGATGCTTAATTTCAATATTAGACTTCATCCCCCAAACCACCTGCAATTATAGCTGAAACTGAAGCTGAAAAAATCCACATGAAAATGCTCTGCAAGACTGATTATTTTTCTTTGGTCTCTGCCTATCTGGTTTTGTTTGGGATTTTCTGAAGCCCAGTTAAAATTATGTTTTGTTTGGATTCATGAAACAACAGGATGAACTTTAAAATTTGTCCAGAATTCAATGACAAAATAACTTGGCCAAGTTTGTTCATAACTGGGCCTTACTGGCAACTCGGGATGAGCCTGCTCCAGTTCTGTAATGGACTCAGATTCAGAGGTTTGACAGTTCAATTTTATACTCTATTAAAGTAAAACAAAAATATTCTTCTTGGGTACTGAAAATTCCTTAGACATTTTTAGAAATGGGAAGGCAAATGAAAGAACTTATTTTGTACTTCATAGGTGGCTTGTATGTGTAATTTGAATTATTTATAGATCACTATTATTTAGGGATCACTCGGCTCATGCATTTCTGCGCTTGTTTACCGTGTTTGTCTGCTTCTTTTAGAAAGAATGTTCTTTTCTCCTATATGATTTTTGACTGCTCTCATAGGTTATGAAATGAGAAGCAGTTCTGTACAAGGGAGGCAGTGAAAGAGTTGCAGCCCATTGCAGCATTCCCACACAACAGATTGGCTTTGGTCTGGACCCCCTCTAACATTATTAATTCCATGACAAGGCCTTGCAACCATCAGCAACAACGTTTTGACCAGCACTCAGTCTCCTGAGATTAGAAATTGACAATTAATGGCTTCCACTAATAAATAGAATCAAGATTTATAATGAAAGATCCAATTCTGCAGCACAAGAATCAGAGCAGTTTCCTCCCAGCCCCTTCACCTTTCCTGTTAAACGTCTGCAGCCATAATGGCTTCAATACTAACACACAAAATGCTTACACTGGGCCCAGGGGGCACTTTCATGATCACATAAGGGCTTCAGAATAGGGCTCATTTACTATCTCTCCTTCTCTGGAATGCCCTTTCATCCACACTTGTCCTCAAGTGGAAGGATGAGAGAGAGAGAGAGAGAATAGTGAAGGACATTAGAGAATACTCTTCACATGGAAAAATGCTGCCATATGTGCAATGGAATCAGTAGGGGGAATGTGCTGGATATAAATTAAGCTGTGGTGTTGATTTAAGATTTACAGGTTTTAAGGTAAAGCATCAGAAGATCCTCTCACCATTGGGAAGTGTTGCACGGATATTTCAGGGAGGCTGGGGTTTTTTCAGTATTAGAATAATGAAAATTACAATTTCTTACTAAACCTCAAAAATGCTTTTGGAAATCCCTAAGTTTAAAACATAAACCTTTCCTTGGAGCTGTCTCCCTGTGCCAGTGGGGGAACTCTGCCATGGTTTCTGCAGCCCTGGCCATGGCCAGTGGGGTGATGCTGCCTGGGTTTTAACTTTTCACGGGTTTTTGGGGAATGTTAGACTCCATGATTAATTATGTCCTGGGAAAATACGGGATTTAAGGAGCTGGGAGGAATAACAACAGCAAAAAAAATTGATAAGAAACAAGGAAAGGGTTCCTGTGAAACTACAGGGGCCCCTACTGGGTATGAGGAATCCACTGTGGATACAATGTGGTGCATTTGTTTGCTGCTATGAAAATGATATTTACACCAAGTGCCCAGGCTTTAGGGATGGGCTGTTCAGAGGTGCTGAATTCTGCCATCTCCACCTCACTGAGCTGCAGCTACCAGCAGCCAGTTTCCCTGGAAAGTGGGATCACCTAAATGTTTGTTTCCTGTGGGCCCTTAGCTATTGTAGTGCTAAACACAGAATTATTCACACAGGCCTTTATCCTCCCCTTTCCTTGGAATAAAACCCACTGAGCTAAATTCTGGGCCAGCACAAGATGCAAATCCCCTTGGCTATAATGGGTTCCTGCCACAGGTAAATTTGACTAATTATTTTCATAAAACTGAGTGAGGCAAGGATTCGTGTGTCGACATTTGTTGCTGATTTAGCATGTGGCCCAGAGAAAGGACAGGCTGGCTACAAGGAGACAAAGCTGTGAGACATTAGCTATGAGACAACACCTACCTCACTCCAAACCAGCATGGTGCCGAATATGACCTGTAACCCATCAAAGAAATTGTCTCCTATGATGATGACAGTGGCACCTCCTGTAGTCCATCCTTCACTTGGACTGATGGCTTTGATACATGGTGTAGCTGCTTTTCAACACACATGAAAAAGAGAAGTATTCTGCTGTTAGAACTGGATTTTAATGATAGAAGACGTGAGAAAAATAAAATAAAAGGAGCTTTCATTTCCCCCCCTTACTAACACAAAGATTTCAGCAATCACGTTCTTTATAGTACATATGCATGACCTCAAACTCTATCTTTGGAAGCATTTTTTTCCTTAATTAATTTCTGTTTGGTTTTATTATCTGCATTGATTTTTTTTAAAATTCTACATTAACAAAAAAATCACAGCATCAGGGGTAGAGACCAATTGGAAATCGGCATCCCTTTTGTTATTGTATATGAAATGCACAAGACCTAAGTTAATAAAACAATCTCCATTAAGCTTGCTTTATTATCCATCAGAACCCAAACTCACCAAGGAAACTCCCATAAACATTATGGAAAATATTGGCAAAATAAAAAAGGGTGTAACCCTCAGCATTTCTCTAACTGTTCTGCAATCAGATCCAGGTTGTCCAGTATTAAACCATCCTGCCCTGATTAATGCTTTGGCTACTACAAAAAAAACAACACCCCACAACCAAAGCCACAGCTTCCATCCAGTCATTCCAGTCGTATTGCATCTACAGGATAAACAAGATGTGTGTGCAACACATTTTGCCATATCCATGGAGTCTCACAGCCACTTTCTTGGCATTGTATCTACTCAGAGCCTCTGAGTGGATGTTGAAAACTCAAGTACTGCTCAAATCTTTGACTAAGAGCTTCTGGTTTAAGACTTTGTAAGCAGAAACAGCTCAAATATTGGTGGGCTGGGGCAGTATAAACATTCACACATTGATTCTCCTCCTCTGCAGCACAGGGGCACCTTGGAATTTAACAGTGCTGAAGCAACAGAAATAACATTACTGCAAAAATAGTCAGCAAGCCCTGGGTAACTGGTACTGTGGAGTCTCAGGGTGGTCACACAGGTCGATGGAAAGAAACAATTTCACCCAAGATGCTACCAACTTTTCCTTGCACGAGATGATAATATGGCACTGGTAACATTAGATAACATTTTAAGTAAAGCAGGTATCTCAATAATTTCATTACTCATGGAAAACAGGTTCAAGGAGCAGCATAACTCCACCAGCCAACCTCAGTGATGGAAAGAATGATTCTTTCCTGCAGATGTGAAGCCAGAGGGAAGAGGCTGCACTGCAAACCCAGGAATGGGTGCCACTGCCCAATTTTAGGGTCGGTGGCATTTGGCTGTGAATTGCTACTTGATGGAAAGGCTGATTGAGCTGTTAATTTGGTTTGATTATTTGATGATATACTCAAAGAAGAGCACTCAGGCACTTCCTCAGGTAAGGAAGATGGGGATATTAAATCCACTATGTGTTAGCACCACCCAGGATAAAACCCTTACCCTCATGAGTTACTCAGCATGGCAATGTAGTGAGTTACTTAATGAGCCACAACCCCTGCCCTAAATTCTTCTAATTGTAAAGACAGGAAATTAATTCATTCACAGAAGCCTAATTCAAAATGCTCCAGACAAAGTGCTAAAGAGACCCAGGGCATCTTCATGATTCCTCAGTGAAGTTCTGGTTGGTTGGAGCTGATTGCAAGAGGCAGTGTGGCTGCTGGGAAGCTCCTTCCCCCAGCCCCTGGGCAGGGTGGGTGGGTGGGGGGGGGGCTGGGAAGCAGGAGGGAGCTGGGAAGGGAGCTGGGATTGGAGCAGTTGAGTCACCCTGAGCAGTGTTTCTGTGAGCACTGCCCCAGCCTCACACCACTGGGGGTGGCAGGCACAGATGGGGAGCAAACAGACCCCAGCCCTACCTACAAAAGGTTGCAAGTGTCAGGACAAACTTTTCCACTACTTAAGCTGATGGGGATGCCAGCTCCAGGCAAAAACACAAACAGGCAGAAAAAAAAAATCATTACCCTACTCCAAACTTGGCAGAGTACAGCCATTAACTTTTACATGAGCTAACAAAAGAAACATCCTGACATTACCGTCACGAAAACGTAGCACACACAGAAGTAACTTCAATATGTTTAATTTGGATTCAAATTACTTGCATAAAACTGTGCATAAAAACCACTGAGATGTCCAAAAGCAAATGCTTTTCCTTCAGCCAAGCTCACACCAACAGATTTCCAGTGAAAGAAGCTTTTCAAAATGCCATCTAGCCCTTTCACAGAATCAAACTTTTTCATAAATAAAAATTAAAATCACTTCCAAATCACACCCTTTCCAGTATTCCCAGTTGATTGTGGATGCATACCCCCTACAATAAAACCCAGAGATAATCAGTTTCCCATGTGTCAGAGAATGAGCTACTTTTCTTAAAGACTACAAGCAACATTTTTTTTCCTAAATACCAGTGAATAAAAACTATTTGAGACCATAAGCATTAACAGAAAACATATGCAGGCTTTGCTGAAAGGGTTGTCAAGCACTGGAAGAGGCTGTCCAGGGAAGTCACCATCCCTGGAGGTATTTAAAAGCCATGTAGATGTGGCACTTGGGGACATCGTTCAGTGGTGGGCTTGGCAGTGCTGCGTTTACAGTTGGACTCAATCTTAGACATTTTTTCCAACATAAATGACTCTACAATTGAAAATTATAGATTCAACTAATCTTTAAAGTGAATGCAAGATACTCTTGTGCAGTTACAGGACCCCACAAAAAAGTTCTTGCTATTTATGTTGTGATGTTCTTTGTGCTCCCTTCATTGCACTCAGAGGTTCAAGTTGCTGCCCTGTCTGTGCTGCCTCATGTATTTGATTGTAATATTTTATAAATGTATTTGCTTCATATCAAACACGTGCCAAGTCCCATCCATGGAGCCAGGAGGATTGAGGCAGACACTCAGGGCTCTGTGCGGAGCTGGGGCTGTCAGTTCTTCACTGGGACACTCTCACCTGCAAAGCCACTGTGACCAACAGCACATGTCACTTTATTTAAATATGTAGAAATTGTGCTGCATCAGTGCCTCATCAAACCTGCTGGCAATAGCCCAGGACATCTCCTCTGAGGATAAAGTCAGGACTTGGTGGTTTAATCACCAGGGCAGGATGGTGCCCTTTGCAGCCTGAGATGGAGCAAGAGCACTGTGCATTCCCAAAAGATTTCATTATTTTCCCCTGTCACAAAAACCAGAGGGACTCCCCAGCTTTCCCCACACAACTTGCCTTACTTTAAAGTGCAAGTGTCTGTAAAGGTTGGAAGGGCTGCAGGAGGTGCTGCCCAGCCAGGGAAGTGGCTCTGCAGGGCTGCATCCCAAGGAGGATGTGCTGAGGGAGGCATCCAGACTGCTACCTGTTTTTGAGGGCACAAACCATGTTTATACAATGACATATTTGCAATGACCAGTGGCATTCAGGACAATGGTCTGTCTCAAACTTTGCCCTTCCCAGGCCCTTTCCTTGGAGCACCAAGGAGGATGGAACTGGGTCCTGTTGGCAGCATCAGCACAGGTGACACTGGGAGGGGGCAAGGCGATGACCTCAGCTCTATTTATGCCCCTGGTACAAATGTCTGGCCAGCTCAGGCCCTCTGCTTTTCATACTTCTGCTCTTAATCACTTGGCAACGCTCAAAGCACTGTCTGGAAGGTGTTTACTTCTGTGCAACCCTAGGAAAACAGAGCTAGGCAGAATAATCTTTTCACTGGAGGCCTTGATTTTTCTACATTTTATTTGGGTCAGAAGACAAACCAAAATATAGAAACTTTTTTTTTCTTTTCAGAATGCCAAGTTCCAGAACCTCTACCTAGAATTAGCTTTTTTCAATACCTCCAAGAAAAACAAAATGTTTTGTTTCAAAATATTATCACTTCTCATGCCCTTCTGTAACTCCAAAGCATCATTTCTGAAATGGTGTTTTTAAAACAAATAGAAAAAAAGCTTACATAAAATTTAGCTTTTTCTGTAGAAAAAGAGTTTTTAGTCCAAGTCTGAAGCTTCACTGATAACAAAATACAGTGAAGGACTTTAGACCAATCCTAGTAAAGGCAGTGAAGTGTACATGATTGATAACATGAACAGACTTTAAGTCCAGGAAAGAATTATAAAAAGAAAAAAAGGAATTGCTCATTCCTACATACATGAACTTTCCTCTTGTTGCTGTTGAAGGAACAGCTGGAAGTCAACTGCAATAAGAACCAAAGAGTTTGGTGGCCCAGCTATCAGACAGGATTTTCAGACTCTTTGGTGTGAGTGTCACATTCATTGTGTTTTCAGAACAGCTGGGCTGAGGGAACACCAAACGTCTCCCTCCAGCTGCAGCAGGACCCTGCAGCTCCTGGCTGAAGGTGATGTGGCCACATCCTCCACCTGCTGAAATGGCCTAAGGGTTGGGAGCCTTGAGCTGCTCTCGTTCTTTGCACAACACCAGGGCAAGTCAGAGCCCCCCTGTGACAGGTCCCACCGTGCTGCTCCCGAGGCTCACAGACAGAGGAGGCAGAGGAGGTTCTGCAATCCCAAACTTACTGAGGCCATTGGGAATCCTACCACTGACTTCAAAGCTAAAGGATCTATCAATAAATGTTTAGGATTAATGAGCAAAAACCTTAAAGGCTCCAAGAGAAACAACGTTCTTATGAAATCTTCATTTTTCTCAATGTACACACTGCTAAAATCTTATCACCTCACACAAAGGATGGCAGGTACTCCAGCACATGGGGAGCAAAAAAAGGAAAAGTTTTTTGTTGTGCACTGCGTGTGCCGGTGTGTTCCTGTGTTCCCACACTTCCCAGCTACTGATACACAGGGATTTTTCTTCCCTCAAACTGTGACAATAAAATGATTACCCCGCCACAGTTTAGCATAATGGTTCAGAAACGCTCGTGGCATATTGCAGAGTTAAAGTGGAAATTATTAGGTAGCTCTTCTTTGTTATAATAATGATCACTCCACAAATAAAAGCTCTTCTCCCAAAGGTACTGCAAGGCACAAAATGCTAATTCTGAAGATTATGTGTGCGCTTTTATTAAATATTACTCTGCCCTGTCTGTTTGAGGGCTTCACTGC